TCCTGGCGCCTGCTGCTCGCACGTGTCTCTTGCAACTATTTCCGGCCACTTCCGCGAACACGTTATTCTCGGCCGAGTTTACCAACGACTTTCTGCCAAATAGGTCGGCCCAGCTCTCTCCGACACGGAGCTCCCTCTCCCAATACACCCTCAATCGAACGTTTCATCGCGTATCAACTACCACCCTGCTCTCTCTCTCCCTCGAAAAACAACAAATCTCGAAGGAAACGTAAAAAGATAGAGAACAACCCCCCGGAAGACGCTAAAAGCTGTTCCAAGCACGAATCTCCCTTTACCAAACATCCCTCTCCCTCTCCCTCTAAAAAAAGCAATCCAAGAAAGAATGCTAAAAATGGGGGAAAAAACGCGGAAGGATGGAGGACGAAGCCGGAAGCGGATACTAAAGGGTGGATTTTGTGACTTGGTTGCAGGTGGGTCCAGCAGGGGGGAGGGTGAGGCAGGCTCGAACGAGGTTCCAACTGGGAGAAGAGGCGGCAGTGGCGGCGGCGTGGGCAGCGGCGTCGGAGGGGGAGGCGGAAGCGTGCTGGGGGTTGGCGGAGGTGGCGGAAGCATCGGAGGCGGCTCGGGCGGCAGGAGCGGATCAGGGGGTGGTGGGCGATCGAGGGACGAGCCGAGGAGGCACACCCTCGGCGGCGATCACCAACCGTCCCTACATCATCAGCAGTTCAACGCGGCCCAGCAGCTACACCCCCTTCATCCCCATCATCTGCCGCCGCCACACGGCCAATACGGTACGCCGCCCACGCGACACACCACCATGGATCTCGAGGTGAATCTTCGCTACCGCAACGTGCCAATACACATTGATTCTTAATGTTTCTCCGCTGTTCTCGTTACACTTTTCGAGTCTTTTGTACGAACTGAAAGCGTAAACGCGTGGACGGTGTCTCGACGATACGCTCCGAGTGTACAGACCTCGGCGCGTTCTCCTCTTTTCTCGAGACATCTATTTTTCCCCGTTTTCTCGCTCTCACATCACGTTCATCGTCCGTTCGTTCGATGGAACCGCAGGGGCTGCAAGAGTCGCGCGAGAGATACGGGAAACACGAGGGTCGTTGGGTAAAGTGTCGCGGTCCGGGAATGGATGAGGGTTGGGGATAGAAATTAGCGGATCGCGTGGCGACGATCACGTAAGGGACCATGCTCGTCGAAGTATCTAACGGTGAACTCGAACGGATACTCCGAGGTCAAGAACCCGGCGTTAACGAAGGGAAGAGGTTAATTAAGCCGCGTCCACCTACGCCGTCCTGGTTTCTCGTCTCCTGTTGCCTCGGTACGCGTCGTGGTTGGAGCAGCCCACGCTGCTCGGTACGCGTCCCGCGCCTGGCTTCTCGTCTATTTTCGGCTCCGAGTTGTCGTGTTTACCCCCGGTTTCGTGGATTTCGGCCAGGCAGAGAGGGTCTCAGAGAAGGAAAACAGTGGCTAGCCCCTGCGGAGTCTTTCCCTCTTCGTATACACATTACCAAGCTTCTCGGTGGCGTACACGTGGCACCCAACCGTTGAACGTTCTCGTGCACACACACCGTTCTTTCCCTCCACGTTCTCGATTCTATTCGTCTCTGGTCCCACTGTCTCTCGTACGTGGACTCGAACACGGCGACCGCCAACTTGGTGCAACGTTTTTCCCTGGTGTCTCGGGGACAGAGGGAGCACCGGGACAAAGAGAGGAGGAGAAGTTGGCGATCGCTGGAGATTTTTGCAGGGACCCAGTCCGGCCAGCCTGGAAGCCAACGCGTGTCGGCCATTGCCTGGTCCGATCGATCGCGATCGTATTGTTTCGCTCTTACCTTTTCACAGTGCATTTCCAGCAAACCCTTTTTCTGCTCCATGCATATATACATCTAACTGGTTTACTTGTGTGTGTGTGTTTCCGTGTACCTGCCGCCGCCTAACAGATGGGGACCAAGTCTCGCCAGAGAAAGGTAATTCTTTTTTGTCTCTCTTTTTCCCTTTTTACACGCGTCCCTCCCTCTCGCTCTAAGCGCCTGTATCGTTCCAAATCGCACGATGGCATGCGTCCGTTTTTCATCGTTTCTCGCTATATCTTCGCCGTAGCACACACACACGGCTGTGTGTGTCCCCTTTCTCCTTTCTCCTTTCTCTTTTTCCCTATCCGCGTTCGATTCCGAACGATCGGTCCAACCTATAGAGAGCCATCTCTGGACCCGACTACGAGATACACTGACCCGGGATGTTTGGTTGCTTTTTCAGTCGCCTCTTCCGCGCGGGTACCCGCCTCCCTCTTCGACCATGTTGTTCGACGATGACCCGGGCATCATGTCCGAGGTGGAGACCTCGAGCACCGGATTTCGGCGGGGTGGTAAGCAAAGAAGCAGCCTCCCCGTCGTACGGACCCCCAGCAAAACTCTGGAGCGACCACTAGGTAACTTACGACGCGCGATAGAATTAGGAACGTCTTGCTGCTGCCCTGCTGCTCGATGCCCTTGTCGGACATTCCTGACGAAACGATGCGTTTCTGTGGACGATTCCTTAGGTCTAGTGTTCCTGCAGTATAGGAACGAGACGAAGCGGGCGCTCCTACCCAACGAAATCACTAGCATAGACACCGTCAAGGCCCTCTTCGTCAGAAGTTTTCCCAAGCAACTCACTATGGAATATCTAGACAGTCCTCACGTCAAGGTTTACATACACGACAGCAACAAGGACATGTTCTACGAACTCGAAGATCTCAGGTAGCTCTATCGTGTACACTAGCACACAACGCAGAGATAGATCCGATACCAAAGAATCCCCGTTTCGATTGCAGATCGCATCTGAGAGATATCCGAGACCGCAGCGTTTTGCGACTGTTTGAGAGCTCGGACGGTGTGACAGGGATGTCAGGACCACTGGGAATACCTGGGACAGGGTCGGGACTGCCCCCTCACTGGGAGGACCAGAGCTACTTCAGCGAGCCGGAATTCGACAGCGAATACCAGCATCAGCATATTCACAAGAGCAAGGTAACGAGTCTCCGGAAACGTTTGCAAGATTTATTATCCGCGTTTATGCCTTCTACCGACCGGCACAGTTGGTACTCTTCGCGTCCTCGTATCCTCGCGATACGTCTGTAATACTGTGTGTCTCTCTCTCTATACAAACTTAATCTAACGTGTTGGGGCTCTGAGCCCAGCGACCAAGCTACTGTAAATAATAAATACGTCTCCGAACGCGATCGGAGCGGACTGCCTGTAATCGATATCCGCGCCGGTTCTTATCCATGTAATCGCGTAATCGAGCTAACGCGTACGAGATCCGTTGGCCTCGGGTTCACGGCACGTAGGAGAGATCCTGTGTCAGCGATAGCGGTCGGCTACCGAGGCCGTAGTGCGATAACCATAAATCTCCGCGTAGCCGACTCACGGGGACCGGTCGATGCCGCGAGTGGACCCGAGCGGACCCGAGTCCGCGGCGCGGAAACCACGCCGCTAGGTCTCCTCTTTCGCCCGCTTCGATCGCCTCGCTTAGAACACCTTGCACATCGGCACGGCCGGCGTGTACACCGCGCCGGAGTACATCTTCTTGGGCACCGTTCTCCAGCCCAAGATCAGAGCCTTCGCGAAAGGCTCCTCTGAACAGCCGTCGCAGATGTCCATGATCATCTTCACCTCCGCTTCCGCCGGTTCCCTCTCGTCGTCCTTGTTCTCGTACTTTGGCAACTGCAGCCCGAAGTTGGTTAGCCCGACGAAATAGTCGTTGTCCAACCCCTGAGCAATGTAGCCGTCGTCCATGATCAGTCCGTTACCTGTGCAACGTTTTTCCCTGGTGTCTCGGGGACAGAGGGAGCACCGGGACAAAGAGAGGAGGAGAAGTTGGCGATCGCTGGAGATTTTTGCAGGGACCCAGTCCGGCCAGCCTGGAAGCCAACGCGTGTCGGCCATTGCCTGGTCCGATCGATCGCGATCGTATTGTTTCGCTCTTACCTTTTCACAGTGCATTTCCAGCAAACCCTTTTTCTGCTCCATGCATATATACATCTAACTGGTTTACTTGTGTGTGTGTGTTTCCGTGTACCTGCCGCCGCCTAACAGATGGGGACCAAGTCTCGCCAGAGAAAGGTAATTCTTTTTTGTCTCTCTTTTTCCCTTTTTACACGCGTCCCTCCCTCTCGCTCTAAGCGCCTGTATCGTTCCAAATCGCACGATGGCATGCGTCCGTTTTTCATCGTTTCTCGCTATATCTTCGCCGTAGCACACACACACGGCTGTGTGTGTCCCCTTTCTCCTTTCTCCTTTCTCTTTTTCCCTATCCGCGTTCGATTCCGAACGATCGGTCCAACCTATAGAGAGCCATCTCTGGACCCGACTACGAGATACACTGACCCGGGATGTTTGGTTGCTTTTTCAGTCGCCTCTTCCGCGCGGGTACCCGCCTCCCTCTTCGACCATGTTGTTCGACGATGACCCGGGCATCATGTCCGAGGTGGAGACCTCGAGCACCGGATTTCGGCGGGGTGGTAAGCAAAGAAGCAGCCTCCCCGTCGTACGGACCCCCAGCAAAACTCTGGAGCGACCACTAGGTAACTTACGACGCGCGATAGAATTAGGAACGTCTTGCTGCTGCCCTGCTGCTCGATGCCCTTGTCGGACATTCCTGACGAAACGATGCGTTTCTGTGGACGATTCCTTAGGTCTAGTGTTCCTGCAGTATAGGAACGAGACGAAGCGGGCGCTCCTACCCAACGAAATCACTAGCATAGACACCGTCAAGGCCCTCTTCGTCAGAAGTTTTCCCAAGCAACTCACTATGGAATATCTAGACAGTCCTCACGTCAAGGTTTACATACACGACAGCAACAAGGACATGTTCTACGAACTCGAAGATCTCAGGTAGCTCTATCGTGTACACTAGCACACAACGCAGAGATAGATCCGATACCAAAGAATCCCCGTTTCGATTGCAGATCGCATCTGAGAGATATCCGAGACCGCAGCGTTTTGCGACTGTTTGAGAGCTCGGACGGTGTGACAGGGATGTCAGGACCACTGGGAATACCTGGGACAGGGTCGGGACTGCCCCCTCACTGGGAGGACCAGAGCTACTTCAGCGAGCCGGAATTCGACAGCGAATACCAGCATCAGCATATTCACAAGAGCAAGGTAACGAGTCTCCGGAAACGTTTGCAAGATTTATTATCCGCGTTTATGCCTTCTACCGACCGGCACAGTTGGTACTCTTCGCGTCCTCGTATCCTCGCGATACGTCTGTAATACTGTGTGTCTCTCTCTCTATACAAACTTAATCTAACGTGTTGGGGCTCTGAGCCCAGCGACCAAGCTACTGTAAATAATAAATACGTCTCCGAACGCGATCGGAGCGGACTGCCTGTAATCGATATCCGCGCCGGTTCTTATCCATGTAATCGCGTAATCGAGCTAACGCGTACGAGATCCGTTGGCCTCGGGTTCACGGCACGTAGGAGAGATCCTGTGTCAGCGATAGCGGTCGGCTACCGAGGCCGTAGTGCGATAACCATAAATCTCCGCGTAGCCGACTCACGGGGACCGGTCGATGCCGCGAGTGGACCCGAGCGGACCCGAGTCCGCGGCGCGGAAACCACGCCGCTAGGTCTCCTCTTTCGCCCGCTTCGATCGCCTCGCTTAGAACACCTTGCACATCGGCACGGCCGGCGTGTACACCGCGCCGGAGTACATCTTCTTGGGCACCGTTCTCCAGCCCAAGATCAGAGCCTTCGCGAAAGGCTCCTCTGAACAGCCGTCGCAGATGTCCATGATCATCTTCACCTCCGCTTCCGCCGGTTCCCTCTCGTCGTCCTTGTTCTCGTACTTTGGCAACTGCAGCCCGAAGTTGGTTAGCCCGACGAAATAGTCGTTGTCCAACCCCTGAGCAATGTAGCCGTCGTCCATGATCAGTCCGTTACCAAATTGCACCAGACCTCTTTTCTTTTTGGGCGAGTTTTGCTTCTCTAGTTTCTGGTCCTCAGAATCCTTCATTGCAGACGTCAGCTGAAAATGACACGATTTTAACATCTCCGGTTTTGATTCCTCTAGCGAGATCATCCTGTGTTCTTATCGTGCGTTCGAGAAGAGGTGGCATAGCGTGTTTACATCCTCACGGCTGACGTTGACACTACGTTGGTTACTGGCATTGACCACTATTGGCCGAAAATAGCGACGAGGATTATTGGCAGGTCATAGAGAGAGCGAATGAGATAGGATATGGTACTATCGGAGTAGTCTTCGAAGCTGTCAAGAAATGGAAGACTAACGTCGATGCTGTCACATCCTATCTCGCTCACAAGGAGATTGCAAAGGCTTTGGACCATTGATTTGATTCAAATTTTGTAGGATGGTGGATTTAGTTCCCCTGATGATTATAGGTGTCACTACTCGATCCTTTTTAACACTATGCCGTCTACACATCTAATCGGCTGACTCATCATTTGCGCATAATACTAACATGGTGTCACCGCCATTTGCCTGACATGATATCAACGTGATGCCACCGTGGACAGCATAGTGTTAACTGACTCTCAACTCTCAACCTGACAACTCTCGATAACAAACTTTCAACTGTCGGTCCTTATTCTGGCAACTACCAATCTGCCAACTAACTTAACTCTAAACTACTGTCTGCCTAGTAACTGACTCACAGTGAGTCGAGAGATCCATATATGTGTCTCACGTAAACGCATCGCTATGGCTACATATATCTAGAATTTGACACCTTGTAGCGCTGTCAACGAAAATAGCGACTAAGCAGCAATATGCACTAGCAATTTGAAATGCCTATTGTGACAGCAACTAGACTTCATGGTACGGTTAACTTCGAACCATTCCATTCACAAAGGGTTAACCCTTTGCGGACGGAGTGGTTTAGAGTAACTCGTACTGTGGGGCCTAGCTGCTGCCACTATAGTCATTCAAAGCTACTAGCTCTCGTTTCTACTTAAACGCGATTTTCATTCATAGCGACGCTGTCAATAAGGACATAAAACATTCCACCACTTAACACATTGCGTACCATATAAAAATTTCTAAGACATACGCCAGGGACCGCACGTTCTGACAAGACAGTGTGTTGACATCTGAGGCCCGTGACAAATGACGCGTGTAAAACGAGAAAACTCGTGGACGGTACGCAATGCGTTAACTCTTTACACTCGATGATTTATTCCTTACCGGGAAAATAGTAATTCGACGACTTTCTGCCATAAAGTCGACTTAAATGGCGCCTTTCGAGTGCAAAGGGTTAACTTGGGACGCGCGGTCCTAGGGCCCCAATGGGCGCATATATGTTAAATGGCGCCTTTCGAGTGCAAAGGGTTAACTTGGGACGCGCGGTCCTAGGGCCCCAATGGGCACATATATGTTTCTCTGTCATAGCAACGCAACGGGCCATGGAGACCATCGGTTGGATCTCATATCCATGCTAGACCCGAAGTGGCCCAAAAGTAATACGCCAATATCGGGTTCCTCCCCGGGCGTACTTCTTAAGCCAACACAAAGTCAAGCGCGGGTTGACTTCCCCGTTGGTTGAACCATGCCCGTTTCATTGGTAAGATGATATATAAATTCGCATCCAACACTTGCCAATATAGCCGAACTGGCTGAAGAGTGGCATAGCAGCGCATTGTGCAATATAAGGTAAAGAAACAATACTTGTCACAGCAACGCGTTTACGTGGGACACACTTATGAGTCTCTATCAGTTGTTTTGCATATAGGCGGCGCTCGTCCGCAAAGGGTTAATCTTCCGCGAGGATGCAAATACACTGTGCCTTCTTCTCTCGAACGCGCTATACCTTGCCGTCCAAATCTTCCTTTTCGGAAACTTCGGCAACGTCTCTCTTCTCCAGTTTAGACTTCTCGGTGGTGGTCTCATGGATCCTCGAATCGGGCTGTTCGCTCTCCGCTTCCAGCTCCGAGGAATTTTTCTCTCGCTTGAAGAGACGGTACGGGCCGTTCGTCGAACTCGCGTCTGTTATTATTCTATTCGCCGAAGGCAAGTCGGCGCTGGGTGGTAGGTTGCCGAAGTACTGGGTAGATTGCAGAGGATACGCTGCCGAGACGGAATTGGGATTTGCCGGTGGGAACGGCTGAGGGGGTGGGTTGCGGGGAATCACCGCTGGGTGCCTCAGGGTGACTCCACCTTGCACGATCTGCAGCGGCGATCCTGGATTGATTTTTACCTGAAACGCGACAGGGTCAGCGTATTCGTTTACGCAGAGAGTAGGAGAGTACGCGTTCGAACCTGATGATTGATCTGTCCACCGGTGAGCAAGGGGTGCTGAGGTAGGGGCGGCCCCGTGACAGGGGGTCGCGTGGGTCTGGGGGTGTTGTTGTCGGTGTCGTGCTCGTAGTGGTGGGCGTGATGATGCTTGTGATCCTTGTGCGCCTTCCCTGCCGTCAAAGCAACCCCGTAGAGTTGCACCATGGTCACCTCTCCTAGCAGACCACCCGATCCTAAGGAACATTTCTCGTTAGACAAAGAAAATTCGATGTACCTCTCTCTCTCTCTACGTCTCTCTTACCTGGCGGGGACCCCTCGCCCTCCAAAAAGCCTCCACCCAGCTGCCGTTGCTCCTGTCCCGTGATCGCTACTCCGCCACCTTTGATGACGTGCCCGACCAGCTAACGAGTCGACAGCAAACGCGAGCGAATTAAGGTCATGCCGGATTAGCCCGGGGGTCTGTTGATCAGCGAGTTACGTGGCAACGCGCGTTAATTCCTACTCGTGCAACGAGCTCCGGCGTATTCACACGCCCCGCTATACCTATGTATCTCAGACACCGCGGTGCGGAAAGTGCCGCGTTTATTTACCCCATTTTTCTTTCCCCGCCCTCGACCAGACACGCTTCCCGGCCGTCGTTCACCGCGCGGAAAACGCGAAACCTCTATCTCGAAGCGGAGCTAAAATTCCTTTCACCGGCGCGTTCTCTCTTTCGATTATGCTTATCCGTTTATCGCTGCGGGCAAAGCGGCGGCGTTTTTCGATATCCGCCGAAAAACCAATAACAGCGAGCTGCCTCGTGAACCGGGGCTCTGTATCGGGGCCCGGGAAAACGCAGCGCGGCGAGGTGTGGCGGAGGAAAAATCGGGTTGGGGGAAAATCGAGCGGCGGAATCGCGACTTTCGCGACACGGATAGAGAGGCTAGATAGCGAGCGTGCGCGGCGTGCCGAAAGTTCCCGGAAACTCGGTCGTCTCGGGAAATTCCTCGCGCGATTTGCATCGTATCGAGGAAAGAGGAGACGAGTAGGGTATATGGAAACGTTACGCGAGCGGAATTGTTGGAATCCCAGCGGAGAAATGGTCTGGTCTGAGGACCGAGCTAGAACCGGACACGAATCCAGCCGCTTCCGAAGATCGCTTTCTACTCGACTTCAGCGTCACGCTATGGCGACCGTGCGGCCGACTTTCCAGAACTCCTCGCGAAAACGATAAACACCGGTCCCCCGGGCCTATGGCATCGCGTACCGAGAAAGCTGCTCCGAGTTCCTCACACGTGCGTACTGTATTTTTCGCGTGATCGGAATTCGCCACTCTGAGCTCTTTCACCGGCTCGTTGCGATCCCATCGCGACCGGTGGCCGCTTTCAAGGCCACGAGAGCACTCGGTACCGGAAGCTCGAGAGTCGGAGCCAGGCTTACCCTGTTGTTGAACCCGCGACCTACGCGCTCGTCGTTGACCCAGATCTGCCACTCCCCTGTACGGCCGCTCCAGCTTTGGCAGGAGTGATACCACTTGTTCAATCGCAGCGGGTAATTCAATCTGTACAAGTTGTGCCCGTTGATGTTCATCATGTAGTAGGAACTCCTGGGGGTGTTTGCTACCCAGGACAGCACACCTCGTGGTTGGTCGCCGACTTGAAACCGAGCAGAACTTGGTTTAAGCGAAATTCGTTAAGCAGTGGACGTAAATACAGTCGTTGATTGATCAGATGCACGGGGCAAAGTTGGATCCGATAATTGGTCGCTGGAGGAGACCGGGAACGGATTGGCTGGTTAGGTGAAATGGAAAAGTCACGTGAATTTGACGTAATAGACTCGTGAGGTAGATTCGTCAAGTGAAGCAGTGCAGGAATAGGTGATATTCGTTGATTGGTCTAATGGAATGAAAGAAATTAGACTAATAAAGTAGATCTGCTGATCGGTCAGTGATGTAAATAGAAGGTGTATTCGATGATTAGGTGAAATGGAAAAATTCAGATTAGTTTGTCAGTCGGATGAGCAGGATAGATTGGCTGGCTAACGAAAGTGATGCCTTTGTCAGTCAAACGAAATGAAAGATGTTAGACTAATATGGTAGATTTGCTGATTGGTAGGTGAAGTAAACAGAAGATGAACTCACTGGTTAGGTGAAATAGAAAGGGTCAATCGAATTTGATGTAGTAGATTAATGAAATGAATTTGTCGTGACTGGTTAAGTGATTCGTTGGTCGAACAAACGAAATGAAAGAAATTAGACTAATAATTTAGACTTGTTCATTGTTAAATGAAGTAAATAGGAGGTGGACTCCCTGATCAGGTAAAATGGAAAAAATCAGACGAATTTGATGTAATAGATTAATGTGGTAAATTCATCATAGCTGGTTAACCCTTTGACTGCCACACCGAAATCACTTGTTTCGCTTAGAACACCACGGGAGTACACCGTTAGATGCAAGATTTGTTCTAATATTTGTTTAATCAATGTTCTAATAAAAATTTTTAATTGTTCAGTGGGGCATTTTTACTTCAAAGTATCTTCTAATTAGCGATTATATTTGAAATGTACTAACTGTCAATTTTCATTCAATTTTTACAATTTTAGTATACAAGTAGCTCAAGCGTTCCGGTCACCAATGACCACCGTGGCATCACAGAAGAAACCGTGACCAAACGATATATGATCAAAGTGGCAGTCAAAGTGTTAAGTGATTCATTAGTCGGTCAAATAAAATAAAAGAAATTAGACTAATTAGGTAGACCTGCTGATTGTCAAATAAAGTAAATAGGAGGTGGACTCCCTGATCAGGTGAAATGGAAAAATTCGGATACGTGGGTCTGTTAGGTAAAGCAGAGCAGAAATAGATTGACTGCTTAGATGATTCGTTGATCTATTAAATGAAATAAAAGAAACTAGACTAATGAGATAGACTTGCTGATGGGTAAATAAAGTAAATAGGAGGTGGGCTCACTGGTCAGATGAAATGGAAAAATTCGGATACGTGGGTCTGTTAGGTAAGTTAAATTAATTTGACGTAATAGGCTGATAAGACAGATTTGCCGATGGGTAAAGAAAGTTAATAGGAAATGAACTCACTGATCAGGTGAAATGGAAAAATCGGATTCGTTGATCAGTGTGATGTAATGTGATGTAATAGACTACCAAGGTAGATTTGCTGGTTGTCAATGAACTCACTGATCAGGTGAAATCGTTAATTGGTCAGATGACGTAGATAGGAAGTATCCAGTTGCGTTAGGTAAAAATTTTCCGATATGTTAGCTAATTTTTCGAGCTACGTAGATGAAAGTGTGTTTCTTGGTCTAATTGATTAAACAGAACACGTAGAATTGGATTGGTCAGCAGGCCAATTAAAACGTACAGGAAGTAGATAATCTGGCCAAGAAGGTAAAATGAATTCTCGGTCAAATAACTGAAAGTAATTACAGTAATCGATGATGTAAGGCACGTAGCAAGTAGATTTACTGGTCAGTCAGGTCTAACAAACAGAAGTAGTCATGCTGATGTGTCGGATAGAATAAGAAACAGTGAATCCACTGATCAGTCATGTGCAGTAGGTCAGATCTATTGGTCAATGAAGGCTAGCAGACGAAATCAGTTCATTGATGAATCGTATAAAGTAGATTCGCTGGACAGGTAAAATAGACAAGAATAGATTTACCAATTATTCAAGTAAAATGAATAAAGAATAAATTCACATAGCCAGGTACGAAATAGACCCATTGGTCAATCATTGCTAACAGATAAGGCTACAGATTCCTTGATAGATCACAAGTTAGACTGCCTGATCAGGTGACATGGACCAAAATAGATCTACCAATTGCTCAGTACAGCTGAAGCATATAAATGGACTCGCTGTGATAGGTCAAGTAAAATAGATAAAGATCAATTCACTGATCAATTAGGCAGAGTGTATAATATATAGATCGATTGGTCGATCATTGTTAACAGGTTAAGTGCCACACCGGTCCCCAGGGACCGGCGCTAGACTCTCCATTCGGGCCCAGCCGGTCCTCAGGGACTGGCCCAGACTAGAACCAAAAGGTGCTAACTTTTGGTGTTAAATTCTTCGCCATCTTTGGACCTAACGTTTGGGAATTCCTGTTATAGCAATTGGTACAGTATTTCCCAGTTTTATGAACACTTTGCCCGCCGTTGGTGATCTACTTGACAGTCTAATCTGGGTCTGAACGGAACAGCAAGCAAAACAGCCTGAGCACTTAACGTGTTAATAGACAAGGCCACAGATTTCTTGATAGAACACAAGGTAGACTACGTGGTAGAGTGACATGGATCGAAACATATCTGCCAATTACTATGTAGATCTACAGCATATAAGTACACTCGTACATAGACAGGTCAGGTAAAATAGATACAAATCAATTTACTGATCAGTCAGATAGAGTATATAGTAAATAGATTCATTGATCGTTTAAAGCCAATAGATCACAGAGTACAATACACGTATCAATCAGATGAAATAGACCAAAACATCGGTTGCTTGGTAGACCTAAAGCATTATAAATAGACTCGCAGACAGGTCGGGTAAAATAGATAAAAATCTATGATCAGTCAGATAGAGTACATAATAAATATTCATTGACCAATAGGAGCTAATATGCAAAACCAGACTCTCTGATAGATCAGAACAGCATAATATATGCATTTATCGATCAGGTAAAATAGATCAAAATATAAATTACTTGCTAGATTTGCAGCATATAAGAACACTCTTAGACAGGTCAGGTTAAATAGACAAAAGTGATCAATCAGATAGAGTATATAATAAACAGATTCATTGGCCAATAGGAGCTAATAGGCAAAGCTAGATTCTCTAATAGATCACAGAGCATAATATCGATCAGATAAAATACATCAAAATATAAATTACTCGCCAGATCTGCAGCATATTATAAATACACTCTTAGACAGGTCAGGTAAAATAGACAAAAGTCAATTTACTGATTAATCAGATAGAGTATATAATAAATAGATTCATTGGCCAATAGGAGCTAATAGGCAAAGCTAGATTCTCTAATAGAAGAATAATATGCACAGAGCATAATATACATATTTATCGAACAGGTAAAATAGTTCAAAATACCAATTACTCAGTAGATCTAAATCATGTAAATAGACATGCTGACATGTCACATAAAGTAGATAAAATTCAACTGACTGACCAGTCTCACCTAGAGTATATAATAAATAGATTCATTGATCAATCATTGCCAACAGAAAAGGCTAGATTCCCCGATAGATCACAGAGCACAATATATTTATTGATCATGTAAAATAGCTCAAAGTACCAATTACTTGCTAGATCTAAAACATGTAAATAGACCTACTGGCATGTAAGCATGCAAACTAGATAAAATTCAACTGACTGACCAATCTCATCTAGAGTATATAATAAATAGATTCATTGATCGATTATTGCCAACAGAAGAGGTTAGATTCCCCGATAGATTACAGAGCATAATGCATTCATCGATCAGGTAAAATGTCTCAATATACCAATTACTCCATAAATCTAAACCGCGTAAATATACCTACTGACATGTCACGTAAAGTAGATAAAATTCAACTGACTGACCAATCTCATCCAGAGTATATAATAAATACATTCATTGGCAACAGAAGAGACCAGATTCCTCGATAGATCACAGAGCATAATATACATATTCATCGATCAGGTAAAATGCCTCAATATACCAATTACTCCATAAATCTAAACCACGTAAACAGACCTGCTGACATGTCACGTAAAATAGATAAAATTCAACTGACTGACCCAATCTCACCTAGAGTATATAATAAATAGATTCATCGGTCGATCATTGCCAACAGAAGAGGTCAGATTCCCCGATAGATCACAGAGTATAATACATTCATCGATCAGACAAAACAGTAAAGCGGTAAATTTGGTGACCGGTGAGATGAAACATACGCGTGCGGATATAGAGGTGATCGAGGCGGATTAAACGGCTAGGTCGAGCGGACGTTTCGCGCGATTGCGTCACCGTCATATCGTATTTACGCGTGATTCGCGGGAACATTCGCCTGGAACTCGCTTGCGAAACGCGTTCCGAGGGTTTCTCTGGAATTCGAGTTGCAACCGTTGCGCAATCCGCGGGCATTTCGAACAAACGGAACGGTATTTCGCGCCTGACCGAAGACGATCTAGAAGGCGTCGGAGCATCGCGAACATGGCGGAACAATAGTCATTGTTCGCTCTTCCATGTTTTTTGTACCATTTCGCTGCCATACCCTTCGGATCGAAGACGCTTACGACCCGTTAATCGCGTAACTTTTATCGGCATTAGATTCCCCTAGCTAGGGAATTGAAAATTTTAAAAAACGGAATTAATTTCAATCGGATCGATTTCGAGCAGAGATAAAAGGGAAAGTATAGAGCAATGCGTGCCTAATGCGATAACGTAAGGAAGCGCGAGGAGATAAAGATCGCTGGGGAAATAGTTATTACAGACCACGTGACGAGTTAACTCGTCAGTGATAGGCTGATACGCGGATCGAGAAATCTCTTGTTTTTTTGTTTTTTTTTTGGAGAAAATACAGGATAAATATTTAATATCGAACACTGTCGATACCTGCTTTTAGCAGAATAAATATTGACTTTCGAGAACGTAATAGAGTATATAAGATGTCCGGTGCTATTACTAGCCAGCGATTTTGTCAAAAATTATTGTGATTAGAAGAAAATAAGAGAGGAAAAAGTTGTATAGTTTTTATTCATGTGACATAAAATAATATAGGGAATTCCATTTAAAAAATTGAAAGTCATTTCTTCGTTTCTCGAAAAATAATGTAAATTTGCGAAATTGATATACACTGACATACTGATATACATTGATCATATAAAACTATGAAACTTTTTCTTCTCTCATTTTTCTTTAATTATGATAGTTTTGGAAAAAACTATCGCTGACTAGTAATAGCGCGAATACCCTGTATATATATATATATATATAGAGGTAACCCATATATAGGATGATTTATAAACCGCATTCAGTTCATACGTGATTCATAAACCGCATTCATACTTAGATACGAGTTATCAATTTTCAATCGATGCACATTTCGATGCAAATTCCTAAAATAAACATACAGGGTGTCCAAAAAGATTAGGACCAAATTGAGACTACGCGTGTGACATAAGTTTATTTATATGACCTTTCTTCATCTATTTGACCTCAGAGTAACACGTAGCCCGAGTTTGATCCCAACCTTTTAGGACACCCTGTATATAAACAACGAATAAATTACTTTCTCCGGTAAAGTGACACGATTTTTGCAATTTGACGTTATTACGAAACTAACCAATCACGAGGGTCTCATCTGTATTTATTTCCCACCGTGTATACGCTCTATGTCCTCAGTGAACATTGGCGTAGAGTCATAACCTTTTCGAGTGAAAACGAAGGTAATTCAAAAGAATCTTCCACGACAAAAGCACTTAAATCTTTCGCAAAGTAATGTAAATTCACTCGAGTTATGGCATTCGCATGATGCTTATGAGAGAAAGTAAACGTTCGACTTCGAAAAATATACCGACGAAAGTAAGCACTCGAACGCTATACATACTTAGCAAGAGTACTATTACTAAAAAATTCCGACTTTAATGGAAGTATGCGAATACCTAGAGCATAACGAGTTATACGTGGATCGATCTTTTCTTTTTCGCAGATAAAGTGCATATAATTATGAAAGTAGCCTAATTGTGCGTCATATATTTATCGATTCGAGATATCTAAAGGATTACATTTGATTAAATCAGAAAAATATTTCTGTTTTACGTAACATTTTAATTTGCAGTTTTATTACTATCGATTAATGAAAATTTATTACGAATGTGAAATTTGGCGCGAACCTCAGGTGAAAATGTTGTTTTGAAAGTTAAAATCTAGTTAGACCATTTTCAGAATTAACCGAATAATTTATAAATGACTCGAATCGATGAGAAACTAAAATTTTAATTTTAGGCTTTAATTAAATTAATTACATTTTTTAAAATTTTTAAATCATTTGATTATTTCGAATTATTTTTTCACCGATAATTACTTCAACAAAATGCAAATGAATTAGTTCATTTTCAAAATGAAACCGAAATAATTTCATTAATAGCAATTATAATTGGAAATGGGGTTAATAATTCCATTTTCTTTTTCAATTTTGACTTAGACCACTTTCATTATTATCGGTACAGCTCACTTTCACGCATTTAGGTGAAATCATCAATCGTACCTACAATCGGATCTTTGTTCTTTTGAACGTAATTTCGAACTGATGCGAGATAAAACGAAGCTTTGCAAATAAAAAGTATTTAATTTTTAGCGCTCTGTTAGCCCATAGCAAAAATTCTCCACGCGAGATCTCGATCGAGGAGCAAAAAATTCTTGAAACCTCAGTCCTCGATTTTACCCCTGCCAGTGTCATTTTCTGCCTCTAAATAAGTCATTCTGTGAGTAACTCGTTATGCTTTTTACATACATGCAAACATTTGTTAAAGTCGAAATTTCTGGGTCAGAGAATTCTCTTGAAATATGTAGCGTTTGAACATTTTCCTGGATCATTGTACGTGTACAGAGTGCACGTGTTCAATTGGAGACGAAGCATTATGCATGTACAGAGTGCACAAGTCCAGTTAAAACCGAAGCACTGTACGTGTACACAGTGCACGTGTCCAATTGGAAACGAAGTACTATACGTGTATAGAATGCATGAATACAATTGGGTTCGAAGCACTGTAACGTATACAAAGTACATACGTTCAATTGGGTTCGAAGCACTGTAACGTATACAGAGTACATACGTTCAATTGGAGTCGAAGAACTGTACGTGTACAGTGTGCACATGTTCAATTGGAGTGGAAGAATACGTGTGTAAAGTGCGTCGCAAAATTCACGCAAGCTTTAAACCTTCGTTAAAATCGGAATTTCTAAGTCAATGAATTCTCTTGCAATATAGCGTTCGAACACTTTCATAGGCAACTGTACGTGTACATAGTGCACGCGTTCAATTGGATTCGAAGCACTGTACGTGTTCAAAGTGTACGCGTCCAATTGGAATCGAAGCACTATACGTGTGCAGACTACACGCTTCCAGTTGGAGTCGAAGCACTGTACATGTACAGAATACACGAATAAAATTGGATTCGAAGCACTGTACGTGTTCAAAGTGCACGCATCCAATTGGAGTTGAACCACTGTACCTGTACAGAGTGCACGCGTCCACTTGGAGTCAAAGAACACGTATATAAAGCGTGTCCCAAACTTCGCGCAAGATTTAAATCTTCCTCCATTTATGCGCTAAAGTGTTGCCAACGTACAAAAACGACAGCGTGACAGCTGACAGTTCAGGGTTATCAAAACTGAAGCGCTAAACGCAAGAACAACGCGTCTTCATTATTCAGCAATATTTACAATGATTAATTAAAAACCTGTGTTTTCCATCAATTATTTTTCGCGTGAATCTTAGGACACCCTTTAGATTAATATGCGTGGAAAGACACGTTTTGAGAGAACGTTGGATGATCGTATGGTCAATAGCCATCGGAGAGGCATATTTTCGACTCGTCGCGATGATTCACCCAGCTCGAAAAGCCCGAGGAGGACTTTCGCTTTCTCGCGGCGCGTTCGCCGAGTTCGGGGTAAAACGAAGAGGAATAGGTGAAAGGAAAAAGGAAACCCGTCGATTCTCACCTGCGTACGAAAACAAAGGATGGTCGTTGGTGTGGTTGTAGAATTTGGTCCACATGCACAGGGTGAGCTCCTTCGTGTCAGGCAGCTCCGTCTTGTAATGCACGTACTGTGAAAGGAAAGCAGGCGTTATTAATCTGATGGAAAGCGAGTCGGTGTGCGTAGATCGGTCCCAAAATGGGGCCCATCGTTTACGGAACACGTTTTCCCAACGTTTGCCACGCAATCGAGCAACTGGACCCAGATAAGGAAGAAATCGCTAGAGCAACAAAACCTGTTGATTCCTCGCGACCCCTTTGCTTATCGTTTCTGTTCTCGAATCGGGAAGCACAGGTTTACCCTACTGGTTACCCTATTTATGGCTCGGTTCTGGTACGGTCCACGGTAAAATGGCACCGCATTCTTCGCGAGACTTATGTTAGGTATTCAAGGAGGTATTCTGGTTTAAGGAAACCGAGTAGCTGATGTTTTCTTTTTCTTTTTTGGAATTGTCTTAATGTTTGGAGGTTTGGAAATATCCACTTTTCAACTTCCAGTTAAAAATTTCACATTCGAGTCTATCTCTTGGATCCTATGGTTTCGCCATAAGAAACTGAATAGCCGACTTTCCTTCTTTTTTTAATTTTCTTAATGTTTGGAAGTTAGGAAATATCCTAACCTCCAAACCTAGGTACCTACTCTTCAACTTGCAATTAAAAATTTCACATTCGAGCCCATCTCTTGGGTCTTATGGTTTCAACATAGGAAACTGAATAGCTGATTTTTTCCTTTTCTTTTTTGAATTTTCTTGATGTTTGGAGGTTAGGGAGTATCCTAACCTCCAAACCTTGGTACCTACTCTTCAACTTCCAATTAAAAATTTCACATTCGAGCCCATCTCTTGGGTCTTATGGTTTCAACATAGAAAACTGAATAGCTGACTTTTTCCTTTTCTTTTTTGGAACTTTTTTAATGTTTAGGGGTTAGGAAATATCCTAACCTCCAAACCTAAGTACCTACTCTCTTCAACTTTCAATTAAAAATTCCACATTCGAACCCATCTCTTGGGTCCTATGGTTTCTCCATGTTTCCTCTCGTACAAATATAAATACGTTGTTGGGTATTTTTGTTTAAAGTGTTAAGATAGTCGATTTCTTTTCTCCTTACATTTTCTTAATGTTCAAACCTTAAGAAGCGTGTATGTAAACGTATTATGAAATTCATATAATTGACATAGGAAGCTCGTTACTTTGATACTACTATATAATTATATTATCGGATTTTTTATTTCATCACGTTCTTTGTGCCTATGGTGACCTATAAACAAAGGATTGATCTGTTATAAGTTTGCTATTCTCCTAGAATACGAAATACATAATTAATCGATCAAACCCTTGAACATATGTAACAGAAACTTCGAATACGTTTTTCTTGAAATCGTGTTTGTTGAACTACCTGACGGGATATCTCGCGTTATGGTTGACCGATTGACTCGAAATTTGGTGAAGATCTTCGAGGGATCTACCTTTATTACGTGAACCACGGATTTCACAATCTAATGATTTTTTCTATCTTTGTTCAGCCCTCAAAGTCTAAAAAACGCGAAGAAAATCGATATCCAAGGCTATATAATTTCCAGAAACCAAACAATAAAAAGAAAAATTGATTTTTTGAAGATTACATACTGGTCTGCTTCCTTAATCTATGAAAAATGTATCGATAAAATTACGTTATCGAGGATTATGAAAATACAGTCAGACTTTGGATAGCCTTTCGAAGCACGTTCCCGATTGTGAGCCAGTTGATATAGAAAGTAGAGTGCGATTTAAATAGCATCTAAGACAACTTCGTGAGGGTGAATATTTTCCGTCGATCCATTAACCCTTTGCTATCTACTGCGGGAAACCCTGCTGAAGTCGGTTGGGACACGAGGAAGAGTGTCTCTCTTCGATAAGTATCGTTCGTTTCCTTTCTTTGGCTCTATCTACACGTTGCAAGTCGTTGAATTCTGAGTGTCTGGTTAATTAAGATAATTTCTGCGTGTCGGACATACCGATGGACTTCGTCTGAGCTCTCTACAGTACGGTATAATATGCCCGCATAGGTGTATCTAAATTTCTATCCACTTTGGTATTCATTATTCTCCTCTTTAATTCTTGGAACTGGTTTTCCAAAAACCAGCGACGCTAATTCGTCATCAATTTCTCTTTTCGTTGATTAAACCCTCATAAATCACCGTACCCATATGAATGGCTAGACATAGGGTCTCTATGGAGGCTTAACTCATTCGCCAGGAACTCGGTTGTAGTTGTGTCGTGCAGGTAATTATGGAAATTTGGGGGATATTCCTGCGAGAAATTTCAGGGGTTTATTTTCATCATCCTGACGAATTTCGAAGCTTGGAGGTTTAAATGTGGTCATTTGCATCATTTGGGGTCTAGTAAACGGAAGGAGATACGTTTTAACCTTTTAACTGAGGAATTAATTTAGTAAAATCGTATTCTGATGATTTTACAACAAATACTAATACAATTTATAATCCTCATAACATATCAAAGTATATGTTCTTGCATAATTTAAAAAATACTGTAAATTAAAATTAATTTTATTCTACGGTATGGTACAGTTTAAAACATGAAACAGAGAATATTGATACCTTAAGTTCGTCGTTTTTGTAATTCCAATGACGAGTTGACTCGTCATCCCCAGTTAAAAGGTTAGAAACTCAAGTGTACGTGATCTAAGAAGAGTTCTAATAAGAAAACCAGAAGATGATGAGTCAGTTACACATGATCTGGCTTTTAATAAAAAAAATTCGAAAATTCAAAAGTGAATTTTAAATAATTAGTTGTACGTAATCTGGGTCCTAATAATAAACACCCAGAAATTCAAACGTGAATCTAAAATAATTCACATATACATGATCTGAGTTCCAATAAAAGAAACTTAACACTAGACCTACCAATGAAATGAAAATGACTAGTTTCAGGTATTTTATTTTTACAATTTCTCATTAGATATGGTCTGCTTTTGTCAAAATTTATGCTTTCTTTCATTCACATGAAAACATAATTATTTACCACTACAATTATCTTCATTTCAGCAGAATATACATAGCCACTCACTATAGGTCGGTAGATCTACTGTTAAGAACTTAAGTGTACCTTTTAGAAACCCAGATATACCTAATCCAGATTCAAACATGAGTTTACAAACAGACATGGATGATTTGAGATCAAGCTAAACCTAACCTAACCTAACCTAACGCGCGAAATTAAAAACTTAAACCTAATTCTCAAAAACACATGGTACACGTGAATCGAGATGTCACGAAGGAGAATCTAAAGACCCAAACCTGAGTCGCCATCTGTATCCCTCTTACTCTTCAACCACCTTAACCACCAACCTATCAATCTCGCACGATATCCGGAGAAAATCGCTGGCTCGGATCACGCGAGTAACGCGAGTCAGCCATTATCCTGGACACGATGACAAGAAACGGAACGACTTAATCGATTCCGTCTTTACACACGACCGTTTGCGTAATCGTCGCGTAGCCATTCGCGCTCTCGAGATTTTACCATTTCGCGGGAACAAGGTCTTTGCCGTAATTTCCTACTCGATGGTTACGCGATGGATACTTGGACAACGCGAAGAGGGCGATCGACAAGGTTGCAAATCGCTCGCGTCTCAATTTTCCCTGGACCCTCGACTGCGAAATGGCGGCAGTCGACGAGGGTGAATTAAGTCGAAATGGATTCCACGTTGACAATGGGTTATAGAGGATGGGGACGATCCCTGTCTCCCGAGATGCACTTGGGTTAGGTTCCGAGTCGGTAGTGTAGAGGGCGCTGCGACTAGGAACTTATTCTGCCACCAGATGGCGGGCGTTGAGATTGATTAGTTACGAAACGTAAGATTTTAGGCGTTTAATCGTTTTCTCGACGTTTGCAACAAGTTACAGAGGATTGGGACGATTCTCGTTTCCCGAGATGCACTTTAGCCGCGGTTCTAAGTTGGTCATATAGAGGTTGCTGCGACTAGGGAATTATTCCGCCGCCAGATGGCCGGCATTGAGCTTGATTAACCACGAAACGTAGGATTTTAGACGTTTAGGCGTTTTTTCGACGTTGACAATGGTTTACAGAGGATTGGGAGGATCCTCGACTCTCGAAGTGCACTTGGGTTAGGTTCCGAATCGGTCGTATTGAGGTCGCTGCGACTAGGGATTTATTTTGCCGCTAGATGGCCTGTGTCGAGCTTGACCAGTCCATGAAACGTAGGATTTTAGACATTTAGACATTTTCTCGACGTTGACAATGAGTTACAAAGAATAGAGACGATCTTTATCTCCCGAGATGCACTAGGATCGCGGTTCCAAATCGGTCACTTAAATGCTGCTCCGATTAGGAATTTATTCCGCCGCCAGATGGTGAGTGTCCAGTTTGACCAGTCACGAATTATAGGATTTTGGACGTTTAGACATTTTCTCGACGTTGGCAATTGATTATAAAGAATAGGGACGATCTTCGTCTTACGAGATGCACTAGGGCCATGGTTACAAGTCGATTGTATAGAGGTCGCTGTGACTAGGGACTTATTTTGCCGTCAGATGGCCGGCGCCCAGCTTGACCAAGTCACGAAGTATAGAATTTTAGTCGTTTAGACATTTTCTTGACGTTGATAATAGGTTACAGAGAATGTAAACGATCCTCGTCTCCCGATATGCACATGGACAGAGGTCCCTGCGACTAGGGATTTATTATTCCTCCGCCAGATGGACGGTGCACAGTGGTCCGATCACGTAAAACACGAACTTTATTCAATTTTTTGATATTGGAAGTCCATCAAACTTTAACCATATATTCTCAAAAGTTCGAATTACCTTACAGTGTACGTAGAAACTGCTATAAGTTATCCGGAATTTTTGTTCAGAACTAAAAAGAGTAGAAATTTTGGCGATCTTTCATTTTACTGGAAAAATAATATCAGAATCTGATTCTACAAACGATATGTTTACACAAAAATTTTAAGGATAATATAAATTTTAACGGAAAAACGCATAGAAATTTTGACGATCTTTTTATATTACCAAAAAATAACACGAGAATCAGATTCTACAAACGATATCTTCTACAACGAAAATTTTAAAAATAATAGGAGTTTTAATGGAAAAGCCTCTAAAATTTCGACAACCATTTTTTCATTTCACTAAAAAAATAATTTCAGAATCTGATTCTTCCACAACGAAAATCTGAACGGTAAAACCTATAGAAATTTTAATAATTTTTTTATTTTACCAAAAAAATAATAGAATCAGATTCTTCCACTTCAAGAACCCACGAAACGATATCTTTTTCAACCAGAAAAGGTGTTTAGATAACCGACCTGTTAATTACGTTCGCGTTTTTGACGGATCACTCTGCGGTGTCGAGGCTGATCGAAGCGTGGGATTTCAGGCGTTTAGACGTTTTCTCTGCTACTTTCGTCGCTACGAGCGACTCGCGTGGGGCTCTCTCGACCGCGAAGCCAGCGAGCTGGCACGCGAGCGACAGAATTCCGTCTCGAAGCAGGAAACGGCCCAGAAATGGGAAGAAAGGGAGAGGGAAGCTTGCTAAGCCCGATTTCTCTCACCTCGAAGTACAGCTGCTGGTTCATCACGATCTTGTACAGGGTGCATCTGTCCTGCTCGTGCTGGGCCAGTATCGAGGTGCCTAGGTCGTAGGTGAGTTCCTCCGGGGAGGTTTCGAAGATCGTGCTGGTTTGACGAAGGATACTGGACGTGGTGGGGAACAATGGGGTCCAGGATGTGGAGATGGCCTGGACAGTGGTCCATGTCAGCAGCCCATATACTATTCGGGGGATCGTCATCTTGCTCATCAGATGATGACTCCTTCTCGAGTGGTCTGCAAAATTAGACGGAAAATTCAGAGAAAGTCATAGCGAGGTCGAGAATGATTGCATCGGAATTATTAATCCTTTGACTATGGCATACTTTGAAACGTACTAGCTGAAATCATTTTCTAGATAGGAATCCATTTTCTGTGTACATCGAGTACGGTGAAACTGTTCGTTCAGGTGTGCATTTTTGAAAAATTATTGTATATTCGAATAATAATTAAAACACTATATTCCACTACATTAACCCATTGGCTGCCACGATCCCCATTTGGGGATTTTGGAATTTTACGTGCACCACTCGGCGCCAAAAATATATTTGGTACGCCTGAGAGTTTAGTTTTATTCGATATATATCAGTCAATATTGTATGTAGCAAAAAGTGTGTATTCTGCGCTTCGTTCCTATACAACATGCGAACATATTTGAAATTCGTGTGTAAGTTGAACGGGAACAGAATTGTCATATTCGAAGCATTATATTTTTGGTTTGGTTTTCATATTATAATGAAATACCGTACATAAATATGTAATTTAGAGGTTACAGTAACAATTTACTTACTCAGTCTTTTGTTTTTTATTGAAATGATTTTATTGATCATTTTATAACGATACCCATTTTGGGACTTTTTCAAAAATATCAAATATTTTCAAAACGAAACATAATTTGAATATAATTATACTGTTACGCAACCTTTTGTGCATATATATATATATATCATATCCAGCCAAAAATTGCAAAAAAAGAAATTTGGCAGTTAATGGGTTAAAATAGCATTATTTATTTCCTTGTATTTCGCATTAAATTGTTACTGTACGTACTCAAAATTCAACAGCAAATTGAACTTTTGAGTGCATAGAGTATCACAAGTGCAAGATTTCTAAGTACCTTTAGATGCCTATAGTAATAAATCAAAGGATTAAGTTTCAGAAGGTTGGAGGTTACGTTGATTTAGTGTCAAATTCAGTTCATTGTCGACTTAATACATATAGTGCGTTCGAGAAAAGAAGGCACAGCGTGTTTACATCCTCACGGCTGATTAACTCCACTAACACTCCTATCATTATAGACAATGACCGCTATTGGTCGAAGATGGTGACGAAGATCATCAGTCACCGTTTTCTGTGGTCAAGGGACAATCAACAGAGTTAATCAGTCGTGAGGATGTAAACACGCTGCGCCTTCTTCTCTCGAACGCACAATATGTGCACCTGATATACCTCGCATTTCCAAGCGTAACATTGTAGGATCTGATGAAAATATTTAAATTAGCAATTAGCATAACAAAATGCCCTTATAAAGGCTTTGTTTTTGAAATTGGGGAGTGATTGCTTGGATATTATTAATCCTTTGCACTCCACGATTTTTTGGCTAAAAAGAGTAGAAATTTAAGGATTTTTTAGTATAAAGCTGAGAATATTTTTTGGGATGGTAAATATGAAATCGTATAGTAATTAATAAGTAGAATTATTTGATGTAATTATTATCTTAATTGGTATTGATCTTCGAAATTTTATTAAATTGGGATTGAAGGTCGCCTTTCGAGTGCAGAGGGTTGTTTCATAGGGTTGGATAGTTGTTACGTTGATTTCCTGTAAAAATCAGTTTATTATTGACTAATTACGTGTATAAAAATTCACTGATTTTTTTTTTTGTTACTAGATCTGGTGAAAATATTTAAATTAGTAATTAGCATAACAGAATACTCCTAAAAATGCTTCGTTTTTGATATTTATACTAATTCCGTTATGCATTCTATTTTTGAAATTCGTAGGATATAAATATAGTGATTTTTAGGTTACTGGTACTAGTTATATTTCGTAATTTAATACGAATCCTGACCCTCTAAGGGTTAATATTGAAACTACTGATTCATTAGGCTTTGTGATAATATGTACATTCCACATATAATATATATTATAAATTATAAATATTGAAAAATTTGGAAAATATTTTTGTTCATTGTTACTTTTTCTTTTCGTGTATATAATATATATTATATTACAATTTTATCCTCCCATTTTGTATGTAATATAATATACATATCATACATACAAAAAGAAAAATTTTCTGGAACAAAATAGCAACAGACAAAAATATTTTCCCAATTTTTAACGTATAACATACCACTCTGAGTAGGTAAATTGCAAAAAAAATATTTCACATTATTCATACAAAAATGTGGAAAGATATCCGTACTAAACTACTATTAAAAAGTATACCCACAGCTCGGAGAATTCATAAAATCCAATTTAAAGAGATTTCGTCTATCGTATATGCTACCAATTATGAAATTGGTCTAAGTTAATAGCCCAACATAAATAAATTTATTCCATATTACATTCACCTACATTACCGTAATATGAAACTGCTTTTTGCAAAGTAGCAAAAAGCAGAACTGTTAGATCTTGTTACGCAAATCTTTCAATATTTCGCACCGAGCGTATAAATCGCCTGTACATATGTATGTGACCTTTAAATCGCAAAACATTCGCGTATTATCATTTAAATACCCCGCCCTGAATAACTACGTCCCTGCCTCGTTATATATCCACGTTGCTTTTAACGAAATCAGTTGCATTAATTTTAATTTAATTGCGAGAAAAGGTTAACGAATGAAAATGATCTTGGAAATCATTTTCATTTTGTTAATTCCAGCGTTGACTCGATAAATCGGTGATATGGCACGGTGCAGGAAGTAGGTAGTTGGCGAGACGAAAAAGCGTTGGGGTAAACGTCGAACTGTTACGCGAGGATGTTGCAAAATTTAATTCACAATAGCGGAACGATATTGCTTGCAAACAGCGATGAAAATCGACACTTTTATCGGCCGTTTCGTCGTAAAAGCGCCAACTCTCACGGGTTTCTCCATGCGTTGATTTACAATAGCTAGGCAGTAGCGGAGCGGCCGATCGGAAGTGACCCTCATCCACAGTAAACGTAAACGGGCCCAGGTATCCTGTTTTTATCGGTCCCAAATCGAATTTTCAAATTTAACCGCCTTTATTTCATTCGCCGAATATTTATTTATATTGGAATAGAATAAAAATTAAATTGGGAAGAAATTTGAGGATAATATGAATCATAAGGAGAAAAATTGAGAAATGACACCCGATATGTGGGAATAAAATGGAAGTGACAACATTATCGGTCTTTTAGTCGAATCAAATTTTTAAATTTAACCGCCTTTATGCCACTTGGCAAATATTTATACTACAGTAGAATAAAAATTAAATCGGGAAGAAATTTGAGGATAATACGAATCATAAGGGGAGAAATTGAGAAGTGACACCCGATATGTGGGAATGAAGTGGAAGTGACAATATTATCGTTCTTTTAATCGGATGGAAGTTTCAAATTTAACCGCCGTCATTTCGTTCAACGAATATTTACTTATACCGGAATAGAATGAAGATTAAATTGAGAAAAAATTTGAAGATGGTGTGTATCGCCGGAAATGGATTTCAAAATTTACACTAGTGAGAGAAATTGAATTTATGGGTCTTTTAATCTTATCGAATTTTCAAATTTAACCGGTGTTATTTCGTTCGACGAATATCTATTTATATCAGAATGGAATAAAAATTAAATTGGTAAAAAATTTGAGGATTATATTGATCGTAATGAGAGAAATTAACAAGTGATACCCAGTATAAAGTAATGAGATGAAAGTGAAAATTTTCTGTCTTTTAATCGGATCGAATCTTCACGAGTACAGATGTGTCCAGTATTTATCGATCTTTTCATCGAATCGAATTTTCAAATTTATCCGCCACTATTTCATTCGACGAATATTTATTTATCCCGGAATAGAATAAAAATTAAATTTAGACCAATTTGACGATAATGGATCACCGTTAATCTAATCAAATTTTCACGAGTCCAGGTGTGTCCAGTATTTATCGATCTTTTCATCGAATCGAACTTTTAAATTTACCCGCCTTTATTTCATTCGACGAATATTTATTTATCCCGGAATAGAATAAAAATTAAATTGCGACAAATTTGATGATAGTGTGAATCACCGTTAATCGAATCGAATTTTCACGAGTCCTGGTGTCTAGTATTTATCGATCTTTCAATCAAATCAAATTTTCAAATTTAACCGCATTTATTTCATTCGACGAACATTTATTTATCCCGGAATAGAATAAAAATTAAATTCGTCAGAAATTTGAGGATTATATTAACTCATAATGGGAGAAATTGACAAGTGACACCCAGTATATAGCAACAAGGTGAAAGTAAAAATTATCAACTGCGAAACATTGACCTTAAAAATTATTTTAACGAGCTTGCAGCTTTTTTCATTCAACGAATGATTATTTCCACATTTGTAATATTTATCAGGATAGGATTTAACGGAGGAAAAATTTTTATATTTTTCCTTTCTTATTATTCGTAATTTAATTTATATTTGTAATTTCCTTATTCTTTATTCACCATAGGAAATCGGTTTCAGAATTTACTCCAATAATAATAGACACACGTATCATTGTCTCATTTAACGAATATTGATCACGTGTATGTCAGGACAGTAGGAAAAATCATCATGGAAAATTTTCACAACATGCACCATGGAAAATCAATTTCGAAATTCACTTTATCAAACGAAATCAACGAGTAATAGTTCATTGTTATACTCGACGTATATTCGTTACGTGTACATGAGGATTGAAGCAGAAATTGCTATAAAAATGTTCAACGTGGACTATAGGGGAATCGATTTCAGAAATTACTGCAACGAAGGAGATGAACCACTGATAGTTACACTCATTGTCACACTGTTAATATTTACCATGTGCATATTTGGGTAAAAATAGATATTAACGTAAAAGAAATTATTATAATATGGATTATTGGAAATCGGTATCGAAATTTATTCCAATAACGGAAGCAAGCTGATGACACCTATGGCAGTCATATCCGTCACACATACATCTGACACAAAGCAAACAGTGTCGAAAAAAATGTTGACGTCATGGAACAGGGAAAACCAATATCATAGTTTAGTATAATAAAAGAAATAGATGACACCTGTGGTCATCATACTTGTTACGCGTATGTCATCAAAAATTCCAATAATACGAATTATGGGAAATCGATTTTGAATCAGACGTTATTCCAATAAAGAATACTGACAGCTGACAGTTGTGCTCGTTCTTACGTAATTAATATTTGTCAGTGAAATTTTAATATATGTACATATGTATAAATGTACAAATAAATGTTTAATATAAACGAAAACATGAATATATTCAGTAAAAATTTCAGTAAGAAGCATCACAGGAAATTAATATGAAAATTCACTCGGATAAAGCAAAAATGAACAAATGATGGATTAATCAAGATCAAGATAATGATAGATTGATCTAAGATCATCAGTTTAAAACAAATTTTTTCGGGAATTTCGATAGTATGAACTGCGAATGAAATTATCAGGAATTTATAGTAGAATATTTAGTATAAATATACTTATCAATAGTATAATCATCATTGGTATAAACAAATTTTTTCGAGAATTTCGATAATATGAACTGCGAATGAAATTATCAGGAACACAATAAGAACTTAATATAAATAAATATATTATAAATATAGTATATAAAAATTTTGTTAATATCAATCACAGGAAAAATGTAATATAAAATTTCGGTAATACGAGACATTAAAAATCGATATAAAAATTCATTCGAATAAAACAAAAATGGACGAACACTAGATACAATAGTCGAAATAAAAGTTTAAAAATGTAATACAAGATTTCGATAATTTAAGCAACAATTGGAAATATCGAAAATGGAATAAAATTTTCGATAACACGAACCATAGGAAATTGACAGCAAAATTCATTCGAGCGAAACAAAAATGGCTCCTGCAGGCCAAAAAAAAAAAAAAAAATTAAAAAAGAGTCATTTTTCAGTCTTTAGATGATATGAACCATTAAAAAAGAGATCATCCTTCACGGAGTAAGAATTTCAAAAATCGCAAACATAATTCATAAAAATTTCTACAACAGTAGTCCCCAAAATATCGATATAAAAATGGCTCGAACAAAGCAAAAATAGTCATCAAAATCGAAACAAAGAAACAATTATCGTAAATTTTCAGATAATATGAATCATTAAAAAAGAAATCATCTTTCACAGAGTAAGAATTGAAATACATCGCAAACATAATTCATAAAAATTTCTACAACATAACCTACAAAAAGTCGAGATAAATATTCACTGATATAAAACCAAAATGGACAAACGACTCTAACAATACCAATAACAACAAAAAAAAAACAGAAAATATGGACCACAGGGAATAAAATTACCAAACGTGCTCCAACAAAGGGAGCCCAACACCCATCCATGCCCATGCCCATGGCGAAACGGAGATTTATCGCGCGTAAACGAGGACGGAATAAAAATCGGTCACAGAGAGTATCTACGACAGGAACAACGGGAAGTGGAGGAGCAACTCACCCGAGAAGCAATCGCCGTTGTACTCGCGATAGCGGGAGGAGGTAGATCCTCGCGGTCTCGAAACAGAAAGGTAACTGTCCGCTCGTTCTGTTCGACGTAGGCCTCGTAAACTCGTAAGAGGTGTGCACACCTCCTACCCGCTTTGACTCGCCTTTTTCTCCTCTTCTCGAGCTTGCCTTCCAGCTACTCGGACATCCTACGATCCGCTCTAGACAGGATGCGCGAGACCAGACCTCGCCTCTCCTATCCCTATACCGGGTCACCTCGTCGCCTATCGCTCTCCTATTTTTTCTTATTCAATTTCCCAACCGACTGTACCTGCTTTTCATATCGTAGCGTCCGATGTTGAAACGAGTGACGAGATATTTTCCTCGGAACTTTTGTATATCACTTTTCGTCGGAAATTTTGTGTACGTCGTCTTTGGAGTCTTAGTCATACCTGTCTAGGGATTTGGGAATTTTGGGGAATTTTTTTGTTTTCGTTTGCGGAGAGATTTTTAGTTTCGGGTGTTCATTGTAGGTTTCTTCGTAGGTTCATTTGTGGTTTTCGGGTAATTAGCGTTGATTTTTCTAGGAAATATTGCGTTTTTGTTTTTCACTAAAAGGCAGTGTCTTTGACACTGCGGTTACGAGGAGAAACGCTGTATTGCATAATGTTTCAGAATTTTTATTTATTTATTTCTTTTTTGAATTTGTGTAATTACAGGAGAATAGTTGATGTAAGTATCTAGTGTCTAAGGAATTTTTCTCGTTTTGTAATGCTCTTTTATAATGGGCTCAGAGACCCCTAGTTTCTTTTAAGAATTTTTGTTTATTTATTAATTGGATTGTAAAGTACACGATCTAAGTACTTATTGTACTTATATCTGATCTGTCATATATTCTGAATTTTTGTCGTTTCATAATGCTCCTTTGTATTGGGTCCAAAAAGATCCCTGCTTTTTATAAAGAATTCTAATTTATTTGTTAATTGGATCGTGAGGTACTCGATTTGCGTATTTATTGGAAAAATAATCGATAGCAAACGAATATCCAGAGTTTTAATAAAAATTATGCGATTCAGTCATACATTCGAAATTTTTGTCGTTTTGTAATCCTCTTTCAATCCGCAAAGTGAATTTTTAAAATATAAGTAATATAATATAAGAGAAATTAGTTTTATCTGCAATTATATAAATTTCGCAATAGCTAAAAATTACTAATGTTGAAAGTGAAAATGCCATCACAATTTTCTCTGTTCCATTTTGAAACGTACATAGTTTTACTGGAAGGGAATGGAAAGTGTTATTTTTCTAAAATGCATTTTTCCAGGTAAATTTATTTTTATTTTAGTTTCGTACTTCGTCTGGATATATTTTTATTTCCATATTTATGGGGATGTGAAAACAGTTACACTTTACTTACTGGAATACGAAAGAAAACGATGTTTTTATAAAAATAGGAAAAAATTGGAAAAAATTTGAGTTAGTTTCACATAAACGATGGTGAAAACATTCTCTACTTAATTACATACTGAATACACATTCCTGTTCATTAGACGCACTTTTCACTATGGAAACTTTATCAAATTAAAGTATCATTACGCGTGTTCAAATTGTTTAAAAAATTAATTGCAATTTAAGCAAACTAAAAAATCAACAAAAATTAAAAAGTTAGCTCTAGATATTTTTCGAGAAATTTCAGAAATCGATATATTCATCGATCATTCCCAAAATTTATGAATTTCGGAAAGCAAAGAGTAGAAATTTAATTTCCTTTGTCGTTATGTACCAAATTATTTTTTATTATTTATTATTTATCATCATAAATTTAATCAAAAATAGGTATACAGATTTCGATTTTCTTTTTATAATAATATTTTTTGCATGATTCACAGTTACACCAATTTTCCGTTACTTTTATATTCTTGTAATCATATTTCCACGATTTTCCATCCAACTCGCATAATTTTTACCACACTCCAATCTCACGTTCCATTATTCCCAAAATTCGCAAGAAAACATTCTAAAATTGACATAGATCCTCTTTCTCTTAACCCTTTGCACTCCCATATCGAGTTACTCTCGACATTTTTTGATTCTCTATATACCGAACAAGAAAACAGAAAATAAGTAATCACTTGAATTACATAAATTCAAAATTTATGGAATATTTTGTTCCTCAAAATATTTCCTATATTACCTACCTAGAGCTTGGAAAAGCCAGCGAAATATGATTTACGCTCACCTGTTCTATCGTATTCTAAAATCAGTTATATATATTCCTTCGTCCCATACTATGGGAAAAATAGAACCGATTCATTCACTTCGTTGCACTTCATTGCACCCAGCAATAAATCTATACCTGTTTTCCATTTCTTTCGGAACGCATATACTAACCTTCCTTACAGCCGGAATTATTTCTTCACAAATTTTATACTTGGCTCAATTTCCACATCGTTCACGTCGTTTATACGGGAAAAGATGGAGCAAATATAGGAACTGTTGGCAGGTTCGATGTCAAAGGGATCGTAGTGGCACGCGATTTTATCTGGATCTCGGCGGATGATCCACGAACAGTTGGATCTCGCGGAGACGGCGAAAGTTGGTTTTCACAGATGGCCAGGGAAAATTAATCGCGAGGCGCGGCGAGGCCGGCCAGTTTGGTTATATTGCCAAACTTTCCAACTTTTCTCTCGCGATCGTCGATATCGTTGGGCACCTGACGAACGGCCGATAACGATCGGCCTTCGCAAGTTAACGCGGTTTAAGAGTTAATTAAACTCGATCGATGACTGGTCGTGAATGTCCACAAACTCGTCCGATGTAACGATGCTTTTGATTTAAATCCCTCCTCGTACCACCTTATCGGTGTGAATATTTTTCACCATAATTTGCGACGATTTATTAACCTCTTATGTCACGATTTAATTCTGGCATGTTGTAGAATGAAGGAGTATTTAATTTTGACACCTGTGATGTTCGTCAGGTGAAAATTATGTCATGGGGTCTGTTATTATATATATTGTTTGGAACGTCGATTATGCGAGTTTTAGATTCCTTTTCGAGGTATTTCTTTGATTTCGAAATGATTCAAGTGACGGATATATTCGTCATGAGAAAATTATGTCATTGAATTGGTTGTTATGTATATTATTTGCACCGTCGATTATGCGAATTTTGGATATTTTCCCAGGGTATTTCTTTGATTTTGAATTTATTTAATTCTGGAAAATTATAGGGTGGAGGAATATTTAATTTTAGTTCCTTTTGTGCTATCGACGTATATATTCGTCAGGTGAAAATTATATCATTGAGTCTGTTATTATGTATATTATTTAGAACATCGATTATGCGAATTGTAGATTTTTTCCTAAGTATTTCTCTTATTTCTAATTAAATGAAGGGATTAATTTGAATTTAATTTGAGATTTGAGATCATTTTAGTGATACCATGATTGGAACGTGTATTATAGGAATTTTATATTTTTTTCGAGGTATTTCCTTGGTTTCTCATTAAACGAGAATTAATTTCAATTTAATTTGGAATTTGAGATCATTTTAGTGATACGATGCTTGGAACGTCGGTTATGCGAATTTTATATTTTTCTCGAGCTATTTCTTTGATTTCGAGGGTTGATTGGAAATTAATTTGAAATTTAGGATCACTTCTAATTTATTAGGAAAGGGAAAAAAAACGAAGGTTGACGTGATTTGTTCTTTATTGTTTTTAACACTGGAATTAGCAACGTGTAATGTGAACCTAAATATAGAATATATGATTAATATTGACATAACATAGTATTAACATTGATAATAGTAATTCTAGTGGTACGATGGAATTAGGTAAATGTATTAATTACAGTTCTATCTCAACGTGAGTCAGGTATATATTTTTATTAATTGCAACAGAGAAAATTCTTCCAGTCTTTCTGATTGGATTGGTAGTTATGGTGTTAATTGAAATAGTACGTTGAAAGGGCAGAATCATACTTAATTATCGTCCTATTCGATTGAAAATCAATAATAACTTCGCCAAGGCTACATACTGTCATTTCAGCAACTGCATAAATAGGAAATCCGAGAAAAATTATTTTGTTTTCTTTGGTAGTTAATAATAAAGTATCACATAGGATTTTCCCCTTTGAAATTATTTCATGGCGTTACGAAGGTGATACTAAAATTAAAACTTAATTTATTATTAAAATATTAAATATTATATATTAAATATTAAAATTTATTAAAATACTTGTATTAATATCTTCTCTTTAATATCCACAAAATATTTGAAAAATATAGTTGTAAATCAAATGTAGTTGATAATTATACAAATATATCGTATTCTATGAAAAAATAGAAAATGGAGAACCTCAAAAATAGTGGAGTTAGAGAAGGTATCACAAAATTGATTACATCTGTATTAGTCACATCACATATCATAAAGTCAAATGACCAGGGTAGTAGGTTTCAATAGGTAATTTTTAATTTAAAATTCAAAGGGCATTTTTCGAGTTGTGGTAGTTCGAATGTTAAATTGCGATTAATTTTCTCCTATATTATTAAGGAATTAATATTTTATAGAAATACGTATATACAATTTATATATGCAGCATTGGTGTGACAGCAATCATTTTGCAGTGTACTGTATGCTCGTGGCTTCGAACCAATTCGATGGGAAATAGAACATCGAATGCGATTTAAATCGCTTCTCCTCCAACTTCGTGATCACCATAGTTTCTGCCGATTTCTTAACCCTTCCACGTTAGTCCAGTCTCGATATCCTGTTTCGTTCAACCAGTTTTATATTCATCTTATATAGTAATGGGCAAAACCTAACCTACAACGAGAATGCTTAAAAAAAGCTATGGAATCGTAACGACATAATTAAAATCAACATTAGTAATTAATTGTCCCTCGTCGTAGTGAGTGTCAACAATTTTCACAATTACAAAATGAAAATTATTTCATATGTACTTCATAATAAAAATTCATTAACCATGATTTTATTTTATCTTTTACTGAATAAGTATAATTTCAATCAAATTTTATGGGGTTATACAATATACTAAA